AGTTGTTTTTGACACTGTATCGTTATTATTAATATTGTATAAACCTATATATATTTACCTGTATATATATATGATGATGTAACAAAAAATACAATGCAGCAACACACAGTGCATAAATCAACAATGTAATTATTTTTTGTGACAACCATATTACGAGACGTTGTTTTTCTAAACAATGAGCAAATAAAAAAAGCACTGAAAATCAAACCCCAAAGGGTTCTTCAAATTAAACCGTCATTAGAAATTTCATTAAAAAACAACGCTAACGTGAGAAAATTAAACCTGCAACTTTTTTATGCCTAAAACTGGTTAGAATCGCAACCGTTGCACTCATTTGCATGCGATTTATAAAAAAAATATGGCTGTCACGATCTGACACCGTGTAATTAAAGAAAAAAAAAAACAGGGCACAGGCACCGCAGGCTATTCTGCCCTATTCTATTCGATCTTTTATCCGTGGGTCAGGTAAAGTGCACAGAAAGCCGGATACAATGCACTCCGGATTTCCTCTATAATACAAGGACCGACCTTTGCCTCACGTGCAGATTCAGACAAATCATGATTTTCTCTGGGCGTGATTGATTTTCGAGATAGTTTTGTGATATCCGTTTTTGGAGATATTGGTTCGGATGATCGCTTCCGGTAACTGCCTTTTTATTCTGGCCAATTTAACATTTAAGTATGCATAAGTAAATTAAATTAGTAAGACATAAAAAGACGCTTACCTAATTCTTTACAATACAGATTAAATTTCGTAACAGATTAATCCAGCAGCTTTGCAAAATTATTTAAATAGCAAATTTTGATATTTTTAAATATGGAATGGGTAATATGGTATAATGTATATAACCCTGTTAGGTCTACCTAAAAACAGCTCTATTAATTCCTGTATATAATTCATGAATCAGAAGTAAGATTAATTATCTGATTTGCCATTGTACCACTATTTTATAATACCCAGAAATATCTTAACCTCATTTAAAGTACCTACCCATTGCTGCTCAATATCATGGTTAAAGTTACATTAGAGCATAAATAAAATTGATAAGATATTTTTTTAATAATAATATTTAATAATTATACCTAAGACGACTATTCTTTTGATTAGTTTTGATTTAGTTAGTTTTGCTTTAAATTTAGTTTGTGTAATGTTGTTTGGTCAATTGCAAAACAAATAAATTTACTCATATTTACTAGACGAGAGCTTTAATGAAAATCTATATCGAGCAATTACTGAACTAGTGGCATTATATAAAAACGACAAAGCGCAATAAAGTCAACAAAAGCAACCATAAATTGCGGAGATTATGCAACGGCACGGCTTACGTCCTCTTCCTGGCTTTAGGGCCATAAATTTCATTCCACTGCAAGGTGGTCTGACAAATTTGCGGTCGTTTCTAACTACAAACGGGCATTTTTACCCTATTAACGCCACAGATTAAACAAACTACCTACAAGATTCGCAATCAGTCTGACAGCGCGTCAATATTGAAAAAAGTATTTTCTTACTCTACAGTCAATCGTGTCAGAGCAGTAAATTTTATAATAAACTACTGTCTGTCCGATGAAAAAATGGGACTATTTGACAAGCGTTCGGACACCGATCCTTTTTTTGTTGTCTCCTTTTTTGTTTGTTGTAAATTGTCGCGTAATTGTTTTTGGACAACAGAGATAAATTTTGTAAAGTTTGTTGTAATGTTTTGACTGCTCCGACAATGAAACAGTAGTAGTCCCATTGAGATTTGTGGGTGTATTGACAGCTTTTACAGAATGGTGAAGTGTTATCTTTTGTTAAAGATAATGGCCCTATTTAACAAATTAGTACTACAAATAAGCATTTAATTGAATAACTAGTAGTCCAGTATTGAAAGGAGTAATATTTCATTTTTACGCATTTTAATGTATAAAGATATTTTGATTAAGTTTTTTATTTATTATGAGCTTCTTAAAGACACTCGCGAATTTATTTTCCACAACTTCTGTAGGTATTTCAGAGAATCTATTTTTAATGTTTAAGAAATGATGTATACTTATACAATGCCTTATACGAATCTCGAGTTACTAACTCCAAAGGCTTATTATGTCCGTTATATCAGATTTTAGATTTGTCATATTATTTGTCACTTAAAAATATGGTATTTATCTTTGGCCTAGACTTAGGAATGTATAAAGGAAGTCTGTGCAATATTTTTGATAGATAGATACATGGATAGAATATGCATATTTACTTTTAAAAATCTAAACATTTGTATAAATAAAATAAGGCAGCCTTATCGTTAACAGCAATATTTTCAAGGCGATCTTAGAGCAACAGAAAAAATCGTGAGTAGCGTATACAATAATATGCTTTTTTAATTATCTAGATGTGTATTAGACGCACCTATTTGCATTTGTAACCTGTGGTTGCAATTCAGCGGTTGACCACAACGCACGAAGTGTGAGTGGTCATGCTTGCGCGGCGCTGTGTCGTCGAGCATTACTCGGGTAATTTGATGACGGTAATCATTTGTTATTATTGTTTGCAGTATCGCTTTTTTACCGTTTATGTTTTAGACTAGCTAACGTTACTGACTTCGTTCATATATTACCTATTTATGGATATATCAAGTGTTATTCTCACTATGGGGGCAACAGTCGATAATGACTCTGCCTATATCTTAACTGGGCGAACAGTCGCGAGGATAAGTATGTCATTACGTAGATATAATAGTTTTTAATAATTTGAGTGTATAATAGACACACTTATTTGCATTTGTAACCTGTGGTCGCAATTTAGCAGTTGACCACAACGCACGAAGTGTGAGCGGTCATGCTCGCGCGGCGCTGTGTCGTCGAGCATTACTCGGGTAATTTGATGACGGTAATCATTTGTTATTATTGTTTGCAGTATCGCTTTTTTACCGTTTATGTTTTAGACTAGCTAACGTTACTAACTTCGCTCATCTCTTTTAATTGTCGTACTTGCCGTACTTACAACAGATGACAACGACTGTCTCCTCGTCTGAGAGAATATATATATATATTTACGTAGATATAAAACTTTTTTGTATATAGTCTGATGTGTAATAGACGCACCTATTTGCATTTGTAAAAGCATATAGGTATAATGAACTAAAGTGACCAGATAAATAGAACTAAAGTGTATAATATTTATATGGATTTTGGAGTCATAAATTGAATGGTTAAAAAAGTTAAATATATGCTAAAGGGGATATATCTCGTAAATAAATGCTCTTAAGTTTGAGTTAAAACTTGTATTATAAATTTCATAAGTCATTTATTGTTTTTGTTTTTTTATCGAAATAGATTTTATACAAAGTGGACTGCGTCTGCCAAACAGCTTGGCTTGTAAGATTTGTTTCAGTTGGAGGGAGATATGGCAGTGTAATTACATAACATGGAGGCATGAAGTTATAGTTCTCCGGAATGACAGCACATAGAGTTACCACGACCAACATGCTTGCAGAAGCAGCACCTTGTTTGCAGTATCTACTTTTATTTTGTTAGTATGGATAACATTAGTACACTCAAAGTATAGTATAAATTTAATATTATTATTATCATAACTTATTTGATCTTAACATTCCGACCACAGGCATTGCAAATGAACATTTGTTGAGAATATCGTGTCTGAAGATAATATCAGTGTAATAACCGTTCATCTATTTGTTTATTACACTCATTAGTCAAGGGCTACACATTCAATACTGTATTCTTAAAAAAAGTGTCTGGACCATGAAAGGCAATGCTCATTGTAAGGTTTGTGGTATTTATTATTGTTATGTAAGGACAACTTTTACTTAAGCTAACTCCTATCAAATATACCAACACATATATTTGTATTTTAATCAAATTATCTGATATCTTCCTAGATGTTTAGATAAAATTAGTTTTCATTATGTTAATGTTTATCTTTCTATCTAATATCTAATTTAAATTCAAGTAGAATTAAAAAATTGCAACATGGTTCTTTATTTCTTTAAATATCATTTTATTATTCGTGTCACGATAGTATTACATTTATTAAAAAAATATTCTCTGATATCTTTAATATGAGTAGGGTAGGGCGGGGCTAAAAGGTCCGCGGGTAAAAAGGTCCACCATGCCTATCTCCGAAACTAAGTGCACGTTAGACAACGGAGTGACCGGTGCGTGAAGGGGACGAGGGACGGGTGCGCATGCCGCCCCGCGCAGTGCATTTTCTAGAGCCGGCAAGAGTGTACGCGCAAGTGGTGCGAAAATTACACGTAAGTAATGTTTTAGATTTTACTTAGTTTTAGTCTCATTGTTCGATTTTTAAACTTACGAAACATAATTTCTCTGTATAAATGTTTAGTGGTATTAAGTTTCACGTAGTGCCATTGTTTTTTTGTTTGCATCACCTTGTTTTTCTACATAACCTAAAACAACAGTCCACCTACCATTGGGGCACAATTGGACCTTTAAGCCCCACGAATTATTTTGATTCTATGTATTAATTTCTATTTTATTTTCAGAATGCGGAATTATAAAAAAACCACTGAGCGTGGTACGAAGTCCGTTGAGCTGATGAAGCGAGCGGCTGATTTAGTCGCAAATGAAGATAAATCAATAAGGCAAGTTTGTCGTGACTATGAGATTAGCAGAACTTCATTGAAGAGATTCATGGCGCGGTTAAAGGAAAATCCGGAGTCGCCAAAATTTGGCTACGGCACTCCCAGATTAGTGTTTAACCAAGAACAAGAAACTTCTCTCTGCGAGTATTTATGACACTTGCACAAATCTTTCAATAGGCCCTAAAGATGTTCGTCGCTTGGCTTATGAATGCGCTGTAAAATATAATTTGAAGATTCCTGAGGTATGGCACACAAATAAGATGGCTGGAAAGGACTGGCTGACGGGATTCTTGTCAAGGAATGACCGTCTCTCTATCAGGAAGCCAGAGGCTACTAGTTTGAGCAGGGCCACCTTCTTTCAATCGAACGAACGTTTGTGAATATTTTGATAAATTGGCACACGTGATGGATCGTCACAAATTCAGAGGTTCGTCTATATGGAATGCTGATGAGACTGGTGTCTCGACTGTAAATAAACCTTCAAAAATAATTGCAGCCAAAGGGAAAAGAAACGTCGGGTCTGTCACATCTGCTGAAAGAGGAACTAATGTAACATTGTTGGTAGCTGTTTCGGCAACTGGATCTTCGATACCTCCAATGTTCGTATTTCCAAGAAAGAAATACCAAGATCATTTCGTGCGAGATGGGCCAGCAGAATGTATTGGTGCAGGAAATGCAAGCGGCTGGATGAATACGGAATTCTTGCTTTTTATGAAACATTTCATCACTTATGTGAAGCCAACTAAAGAGTCGCCAGTTTTGCTTTTACTAGACAATCACAGTTCGCACTTGTCAGTGGAAGTGTTGGATCTAGCGAAAAATAATGGAGTAGTGATGCTGTCGTATCCTCCTCATTGTTCCCATATTAGACGTGTCTGTTTTCGGGCCGTTTAAAAGGTATTTATCGTCAGCACAAGATTCATGGATGCGTGGCCACCCCGGAAAAACAATGAGCATTTACGATATCCCAGGCATCGTCCGAACAGCTTTACCTTTGGCACTGACTCCCAACAACATCTCGAAAGGGTTTCAAAAGCTGGGGTTTACCCGTTCAACCGGGAAGTGTTTGATGAGTCGGACTTCGCTCCAAGTTTTGTGACAGACCGACCAAATCCGAACAATCCAACAACGTCTTCTGTACCTAATGAGTCACAGCCGCCTATGTCTACAGAGCCCCAGTTGCCTATTTCTCCAGGTTCACCAAGTTTGTTAATTTCTTCGCAGCCCGAAGTTGTAGCAGTTGTTTCAGCAAGTATATCTCCTGTATCTCCTTCTCAGTTGTCTACAGTAGGGCCTCAGTTGCCTACCGTCTCAGTTTTGCTGTCCTCAAGTGACCTAATGTTGTCTTCTACAGCTGCTGTTGAAAAAGATTGTCTGCCATTAAGGTCCTGTACAGTTCCATCTTCAAACATTGAGCCTCAACCATCTACGTCAGCTTCATCCTTGTTTGCTCAGCCATCAATATTTTCTCCGAATCCATCAGGCCTTTCCCTCAGGCAGGACCGCGTAATGTTACCAGCAGGAAACGACGAAAGGCAGCTATATTAACAGACACACCTGAAAAGGAAGCGTTGTCTTTGGAACAAGAAAATAAAAAGAAGAAGAAAATGGTCTCTCGTAAAAAAGCTGTCTCGAAGAAAAATAAACAAGTGAAAAAAAAAAGATTTTACAAGAAAAAGATACAAATAAAAATAAACAAGTGAAAAGAAAGATTATACAAGAAAAAGATACGAGTTCGAGTTCTGAAGAAGAAGAATGTCTTTGTCTGGAATGCTGCGAGTCATTTGCTGACAGTGTTGCAGGAGAAGGCTGGATTCAATGTAATACCTGTAAAGGTTGGGCCCACGATAAGTGTGCCAAACATCACTCATCATCTCTTGCATACGAATGTAAGAATTGTCAGTCTGATGAAGATTAGTTATTAGTTTTTTGTTGAAAATACTTATTTTTTAAATTGTTTAAGTTGCTAAAGATGTTACCGATTTCTTTTATGAATATGTACGATTTTGAATACTACAATTGTTTTAAGATGTTACCTTTATCAAGATCAAAAAGACCAAAGACCTAAAGATTTGTTATTAAGACTGATTATAACTGTGCCTTATAATTATATAACTTAGTTACCAGTGCAAAATAGGTCGCAACATATCTGTCGATTAAAATATAATAAATATAAAGATTATTTATTTTTATTTATTTCCTACATTTGACCACAAAATATGATTTAGTTGTCGTGGTTCTTTTTACCCCAAGACTTGCGGGGTAAAAAGGACCATTTGATTACATTTTGTATCGCCCATATTGGGCGCATTGGTAAATTCTGGCCGTATTCACCTATGATATAGATGAAGGATTAAACTTTCTATTATTATTAAAGTCTTTCCCAGGAACCTTAAACGTACGTAGTTATGACACAATATACGCAAAATGGACCTTTTAGCCCCGCCCTACCCTACATGTCATATAATTTCTCACTATGATCAAATAAAATTTAAAATAAGAATGCACACATTCCATTTTCGAATATTATTTTTAATAAATAAAATTTGAAAACAGAAATAATGCACACATTTTATTTTGGAATATAATTTCTTAATATTTTAAAGCTGTAATTAAAATATGAAATTTGAAAATAGAATGTGTGCATTCTAATTTCAAATTATATTTCTTTCCAAACACTGACCAGTAATAGGTATACATGTCAATAATGTCTGCGGTGAGTTTCCCTCGCCAGTCGTGAGAAAACCATCGTGCATCATGGTTCCGTAGTAATTGATGTCAAACGGAGACTATTGTGCGGTGAGGCACTTGATGAAACCTGCTGCGTTATTACTATTTATATTTTTCTATTTAAAATAGTACCTAGACTAGTAATAAGAATTCTTCTTTCTTTTAGCCGACTTGAAATGATGAAGGCGTGTGTTTGATTGGCATTTTTTTATATAACTAACTATACGGATCTGAAATTATAGCATCTTAAATTCTTCTAATATCAGAACTTTTGTGATGGGTACTTGACAACTGATATATATTTTCACAAATACATTTTTTGTCGATACATACACATTATACATATTGATATGTACAACCAAACCATTACAAACAATCATACTCATAAATACGAATGTTTATACCGTGTGAGGAATCGAACCTGCGACCATTGGAAGTAAGGCGGTATGCTAAACCGCTACACCACCGAGACCGTCAAATTAAATCATAATTAAATTATATATATATGTATATATCTATATTCGACAGTTGAGTAAAAAACATTCAACATAAGTTCATACACGTCGTAACTTTAATATTAGGTATTATAATTATGATTGTATAAATGATAATTCAAGAATCAGCATGATGGTGTGTGGTCCGAGTGACGATCTTTGTTAATATTTGTACTCATATCAACACCGGGAAAATGCCACGGCCGAGGCTTAATTAGCGAGCGGAGCGATTTCCGACACTGCCGAAGACAAACTAATCTAAATTTAAGAAGTTTTTATTTCGTTATTTTAATAGGATTTTTTGTATTATTTATATATTTTTTTATAATTCTTCTGTTTTACTTCTTTGTACAGATGTAACAAGTATACAATTCTGTCTTACATGAACATATTTATTTGTAGCATTAATTTTGGTAATGTTTTGCCATACAAATAAACATTTTATCTATGTATCTATATATGGAATATAATTTTCCCCACAGTGTCTTTGTGTCATCTCAACTTCAACTTACTGAATTCAATTGTGAAGTTAGTACTTTATTCATTTGTAGCGTATAGATGTATGATGACATATATTACAAGTACTGTCTAAATGACGATAATCCAAGGAAATTAACTACGAATGAGTAACCTACAAAATAATTTCGTATTTTCTTTTTATATATATATAATAATTATAGTCTGTAGTCACCCATCGTGAAAATTCAACGATTTTCAGAGGATTCGTGGAGGTCAGCATTACATTGCTAGATATAAGATCTCTCAAATTGTATAGAAAACTAGTAATACAAATATTTATGCGGTGCGAGGAATCGAACCCACGATCATTGGAAGTAAGGCGATGCGCTAAACCGCTAGACCACTGAGGCCGTCTTATACTATTGTTGTTATAACTTTTTCAATAATGAGCAATGTCTACTAAAACACACAAAACTAGTCATTACAAATAAAAATGTTATATACTGTAGATACTGGCTAATCAGATATGTATTCTTTATCCCAAATTTGTATTTAAATTTATATATTTATCTTGTTTATATTTCAATGTCCACGAGTGACAATTGTTATCTTATATATATATTCTCTATTAAAAAAAAAACCGCTTCAAAATCCGTTGCGTAGTTTTAAACATTTAAGCATACTTAGGAACGGACAGACAGCGTCCGCGACTTTGTTTTATATTATGTAATGATTATTAATAGTTATGTTATTGCATTTTTTTATTTGTATTCGTTTATACTTCAATGTCTTGACAATCGTTCCTAATATATATTCCAAGTCTTTTTCTGTATTTTCTTTTTATCTATACACGTATAAAATAACTACAATGAAAAAAAAACAACTTTGAGGAATAAATATAGCATTTTTTAAATTAAGAACTGTGTTTACATTTCTATATTCTCATGGAATTTCTATATTCATTAACATATTGTGAGTATTTAAAATTCGCTTCTCTCGTCAACGTAACCTCACCACAAACATCAAGACGCGAGATAAATTTACAACCTGGCTTTTCAGTCAGTGATGCCCTTCGCGGTCACCATATCCCAAACTAAATAGAGCCAATGTTATCTTTTACGACACAGGCCGGTTATTACATTATTTGCCTTACGAATCTAACATGTTGTTTTTGTACTTTTATACATTTGACGAGGCGTGGAATATGCCGATTGTATTTTTAAACTACTGCCGACCGGATTTGCGCTGTTATATAGTGTACTAGCTGTTTTACACGCACAAATTTCAATATACAATATAGCCTATGTATTATTCTTATGTATAAGTTATATCATTGTAAAGTTTCATCAAAAGCCATTCAGTAGTTTTTGCGTGAAAGAGTAACAAACATTCATACTTAGAAACTTTTACGTTTATAATATTACTAGCTACTCGCCCTGGTTTCGCACGGGTATACATGTGTTATATATAAACCTTCCTCTTAAATCACTCTATCTATTTAAAAAATCCGTTGCGTAGTTTTAAATATTTAAGCTTACACAGGGACGGACAGACAGACTGAAAAATACAATAAATCAATAAAAGTATTCTTTTGTTTATTGTTAAAATAAGTGATCAAATTGAGAATAGATTAATATTGTTTGCCTTTTATATTATTTGTCTATAGTCTAACTGGATGTTAAATTAATTATGATCAAATTTTGACCCCTGGGTCTATTACCTACTTTCTCGATACGAAAATTCAAGTAAGATAGATACAAATAGTATGTTATATATAGTATGTATGGATAAATTGATATTTTAAACATATTATACAGAAATATTCCATCTAAAATGAACAAACAGGGTGTAATTATTGGCAGTTACTTAAAACATTATTTCCTAGCCGAGAATCAAACCCATGACGATATCAACGTTAAGTAAAATACCTATCACTGTGCCATTGAGGTCGTCTTAGTGAAAATGCACCGTACTAGACTGCCGGGATACAACTTACCAACAGAAAGAATATTACGAAAGCAGTTTCGCCACAAACGTTTCGTGTCTCACTCAGTTTAGTTTTAATTTCAATTTGCTGCTTGTGTCCAAGCACGAACTGCGAATAATGCTTGGTCTACACTATAAAACATATCCAAGTTATAATAATAAACTGCAATAACTGCCGAAAACAGAGTATTAGAAAATGGACTTTATGCTTTGGTTTTAAAGTGG